GCTGAATATTGTGGAGAAATTGTAAGATGAGAAAATAATTTTTTTTTCTTTTCAATATATATATATATCTTTTTTTTATATTAGGTAACACAAGATGAAGGTGAATTACGTGGACGAATGTATGATACAATTGGTACAAGTTTTTTATTTGATCTCAATGAAGAATATATGGTTGATGCAACACGTCGTGGAAATAAAATACGTTTTGCTAATCATTCAATAAATCCAAATTGTTATGCTAAAGTTATACGAGTTAATGGTGATCATAGAATTGGAATTTATTCAAAACGTTGTATAACAGCTGGAGAAGAATTATTTTTTGATTATCGTTATGGAGCCAATCATCATTTACGTTTTGTTGGTGTAGAAAAAAATACATTGGGAGATCAAATTGATATCTAATTACTGTGATTGTTGTGAATATGAGTCATATCTCAGGGAGTTTATCTTGCTTCTGTTGATTTTGTGTCCGTATATATTAATATAGATTAGATTTTGTTTCGTATAGTATTTGTTGTTTTGTATATGTGTGTGCTTGAGTGTATAATCTTTTCTTTTTTTCTTTTTTTTTTGGTCCGTTTATAATTAATAGAACATGTTTATGATGCTGTGAATATAAATGATGGGCTCAATAAATTTGTTTTTAGATAAATATATATATATATATATTTTTTATTAGATTAGACGCAAGCAATTTGAATGATTAATTGTTCACTCCCTAATAGTGATTCTAGAAGAATTATTGATAAAAGAAAAAGAAAGGAAAGCTGTCAATGCAATCCTTGTGGGATTAAAATTTGAAACACAATGGAACTACTGTTACTAATCACAGTGAGATTGTTTTATTTTGAGATATAGTTTTTCATCATTTGTTTTACTTAATCTTCTAGAAATGTAAAAAGAAAGTAGTATGTTTCTCACAATACTCAAATAAATAGAGTAATAAACCTTTCCGATATGCTAATGATTTAGTCAGATCCATGAGGTGTTCTGCTTTTAATGACTATAGTGATCATGCAGTAGAAAACAGGAATTGAACGATATGAAAAACTTTGATTTTCTTTTACTTACACGACAGTATTGAATGAGTACAAAATCGAGCTTATATCTCATGGTATTTGAGTAATAGAAAAATAAAGTGAAATAATACATGTGTTCTTTGCATATATTGCTAAATAATCACGTCATTGTTCTTTGAGAAATAGTATAATATTAACTTTATTCTATGTTGAATAGTGAGAACATGGCTTCTCTTGAGTTTTATCATCTGCAATCCCTCAATCTAATGTGAAAAATTTAACTAGTAAGCCTGTTCATCAATTTATATTATATAAAAAGCTTTAAAGATAGCTGCGTCTTAAAATTAGAATATTTTATTTAAAAAATTATTCGATAGTTCAAAGACAGAGCACTGAAACGAAATGTTCTTTTCTTTTTTTACTAATTGATAGCTCATGAAGTTTACTATAAAAACATACTTTTAAATTCTATGTACCGCCTAGCTTCTGTAATCGATCACTCTAATGAGTAGTAAGGCGAATGGTAAACGGATAGTATTGACTAAGCAAAACTCTTTTATATCTTTACTTTTTAAGTTTAACATATGAGTTTAGTATGTTTATTGCTATTTAAAAATAAATAAATTCTCAATTCATTATTATTAGATTTAAAAAATTATTTATTTATTCATTTTTAATCCATAACAATTGAGAAAAAAACAATCATCTATAGTTTTAGTAATTATTAAACTAGATTAACAACAGATATATGTCTCAATATATAGATAAAATGTTCGAAAAGTTCAACGAAAAATAAAACTTGAATAATTCTTCAACAATTCAATCAATTCACATATTTCTTGTATTATTTGATTTCATACTCATCAAATTTCTATTCAATCTGTTTCAGATAAAATCTATGAATATTAGAATAGAAAATTATTCTGTTAATGGTCAAATTTGACAACGAAACGTCAAATAAAGATGACATTAAACAGGTTCTCTCAATACTTTTATGAATGTAATATTAATGTAGACTGCATACATTCGAAACGTTTTATAGTAATCGCACAACAAAAAATTTATTTAAGTTCATATGAATGATGAAAATGTATCAACATGAAGTGTTCTTGTGGTTTTTACCAAGTTTGTTCAATAGCATATTGAATCATGATGAAGTTCAGTTAAATAATTCAAAAACAAAAATGAGACGTCTTGTGATAAATTATATCAATTTCTGAGTAACATTTTTTCTATCATCGGAAATGCTAAAAAGATGGTTCTATTCGATAAACTTCATATCACTTAACGCCATTCAAAATTTTTCTATGTGAACACATAAACGACAATGTTTACTGAAAATAACAATAAGAATCGTTAATGAAAACATAAAACAATCTCTCAAAAAATTCTATACAATATATTTTTTCAAATGTTTCCAAACAATGAATTACATATTTCAGTTTCGTGTACTCATTATGAAAGATAAAACTTCAAAAAAAAACAAATTATCGAAAGCTCATATGGCCTGTCAAATGAAATATACATTCATATCTTAATTTATGATATTATTATTATTCAATTTTTGTATATCTATTAATTTAGTACGATTTTTCTTATTGGTTAAAAAAAAAGCTAGAGACATCTAGATAGTATGTACAACAATGGATAGATGATCTTTATCAGATGTTGATTATCTCATCGTGCTATTTATAGTACTCATATATATCGTTGTGTACTATACGTACAAAAAAATCGTGTAAATAAATAAGAAACAAAAAAATAAAAAAATAAAGAATGGAACAATTTGATTTTACAAAACCAACACCATTTTATGATATAGTTCTTAGTGTTGAAGATAAAAAATTATATTGTAATCGTGCATTACTTGCTATATGGTCACCTGTATTTGAAACAATGTTTAAATCAAATTTTCGTGAACGTGATTCAATGGAAATTACATTACCAGGTAAATCATTTGATGATATTAAAGAATTACTTGCTGTTATTTATCCACCAAATCGAGCAGTTGTTGCAACAAATGTACAACGTTTACTTGAATTAGCTGATGTAAATAAAAGTTTATAAAAAAAAAAAGAATTTTTTTTTTCTATCTATTTGATGGTTTTCTTTTTTTCTTTTTTTTAAAGGAATATCAAATGATTGAATTAACAAAACGTTGTCAAGCTTATTTAATGCAACAACGTGGTACTATTGATTCATTATTATTAGCACAAAAATATAATTTTGATGATGTTATACGTCGTTGTGCTGATCATTTAAAACATAATCTTAATTTAAATCTTTTACCAGAATGTGGTAATGGTGATCCACGTTTAAATGAATTATCATTAAAAACAATTAATTTATTATTAATTTCACGTGTTAAACATTTAGAAACTGTACTTGATTCATATAAACGTAAAGTAACAGGAGCAAATGAAAAATTTCGTCATATAAAAGATTTACCAGGTCATAATGATGAATGTGATCATTGTTCAAGACATGAAACACATTCAATTGATTGTTATGATTGTATGAGAATGGTACGAACTATAATTAAAAAATTAAGTGAAGAAGGTTTTGAAGAAACAGATTAATATTAAGTATAATTTATTTTCTTTTTTTTTGTTTTTTGTTTTTTTTTTCTAGTCATCAAATATTTTCTTCGTGACCTTTCGCTCTTTGTTTGCTGTGTATATGATTATATATTTTGCGGTGCTACATTTCATTGTCATTCAATCATTTGTTGGGTTTTTTTTTTCTTTTCAAAATAAATAATAGTTATATTTATAATTTAATATCTTTTTTTCTTATTCTATTATAATATTGATCTGTAGGAATAGAAGTAGATATATTCATTTGAACATACAGGGAAAAAAATCTCGACAAGTTCAATCTATTAACAATAGGCGTTATGGATTAATCATTGATGTTATAATTATTTCGAAAAAAAAAAACAGAAAAAAATATTTACTCTAGTACGACTAGTAGAAATATGATCTATCTATTAATAGCTTAGTTTTGATACTTGTACTATACTAAACGGATGGAAGAATAATGGAAAATTTTTTTTTTTCGTAAAAAATGAACATATAAAAAGATTTGTAATTTAATTTAAACTTCTAGTCATTCAAGTCTTTAGATTTACTAAGATTCTATTCTTCTGATGACAATAACATCATATCGATTTTTTCTATTGTTCTATTAACCTCGACATATAATCTAGACTAACCATCTTCGCTTATTTTAGATGGCTAATGATACAACACTTGATCCCCTTGATTTTGCTTCATGTCTTGATGATCGTATTATTCAAAATGGTCAACATGAAGGTCGTCAATATGGTTATCAACGTGGTTTTCGACAAGGTTTTTGTCGTGGTCTTGACTATGCACTTGAAAATCATCGTGAAATAGCAACTATAGCTGCTTATTGTGAACAATTACAAGAAAAACTTGTTTCAACAAATGATTCTAATCATCGACAAAAACGTTTATTAAATGGTATTATTGAATCATGTCGTGAATTTCGAATACTTCTACCAGATAAACCACGATATGCTGAATTACTTGCATCTATACGAGCTCGATATCAACATTTAACTGGAACAAGTACTGATACAATAGAAAAATCAAATTTAACTTTTTAGTTTATTTATTAAAAAACATCATTGACTCAATTAATATTTTCATGAATTGATTTGCTGTATAGGATGATTGTTGATAATTTTCTTTGCGTTTCTGTTATGTGTCAAATAAATTTTTTTGATCTAAAGAAATAAAATCGAAAGACAAAAAAACAAACATCATGTTAGAAATTCTCATATATACTTACGGTCGATAAGAAAGGAACGTGAAGACAAACACACACAATTGCGTATCATTGAGCAATTAATTGAAGACATTTGTGAACATTGCACTTGCTGTTTTGCTTATTCTAACCAATATTTTATCATAGAATATGTATAAATTGAATTTGATTTAGATGAACTTTTAAAAAGATAGACGCTGGTCATTCTTTATTTTTTTGTTTTACTGTCTCATACTCAAAATTATAGATATTACTCAGTATTAGATATACTTCAGTTATGCTCTATTGCACATTCATAACAAAAACAAAATTATCAAAAAGAAAAAGCACATATCATTAGATATTTTTTGTTATATAGTTCTTTTACTCTCTATTTTAATATTGGAACATATGATTAATATACTCTTGTCAATAAAGAAGCTGTTAGTGTAATTCCTACGGGATTAAAATGTGAAACATGATGAAACTTCTGTTGATAATAACAGGAAAATTGGTTTATTATATCTATTTTGGGACACATTTTTACACCATACTTTTACTTAATTCTTCAGAAATGCAATAAGAAACTAGTTCATATATTATAATGTGATATTATTCATATACAGTTTTTGATCATATATCAACAACATCTGTCATGGTCTATGAGAGGAAGTCTAAGTTTTTATTCCGAATAGTTCAACAATCATTTGATACTCTTAATAGTATTTAATTAATATCTGATAAATAAGCAACAAAAATTTTTAGTTGTAGACATATCTAAAATGTGATCAATCTTAGTCATATCATTCAATTTCATATTTGCTCAATTTAAAATAGCATAATAACGATTGAAAGTCACATTTTTTTTTTGAAATTCAAAAAGATAAAAACACCTTAAATTGGCATTATTTGTTGTGTATGAATTGTATATTAAGTTTATCTTTATTCATTTAAGCTAAAGAAAATTATAAAATATTTTTTGCAAAAAAAACTTCAACTAGATCTAATCAATATTTTCGAACAAAAAAATAAACATTCATAGTACTTTGTATTTGAATAATATCTTTAATACATGATACAAATATAACAAAATTCAAAAACGCAGAAAGTATCAATTCGTACTTAACAGCTTTCAATATTAATAAGAAATAAGTTTACCATCATGATTCATATTGATTTATTTGCTTTTAAAACTTAAGAATGTATCTCATCTCACCTTCTTCTTTCTTTCCTTTTTCTTTTTTCTTGTCTACATAGAAGCATATTACATTCGTTTTCTCTATTTACCATTGTGATCATTGCTAGCATACATCTATTATCATCATCATCATCGCATATACATATATATATATATAGGAATGAATGTGTACGTATGTATGTCTCAGTTTTAATTAGACGACATAAAGATGTTTGCCTATCAAAGATTGAAGTGTGTGTGTGCGTCTGAAAAGGAATATTAACAGTAGCAGTTCCTTTTTTTTTCACTATTGAAAATGAGAATGTATGAATGAATGATAAGATACATACTCTCTCTTGAAAGACAAATACACGCCCCTTTCCTTTCTCTTTGTCCACCTTACTGTCTCTATGTATTTCAAGAACATTTTCTGAACAAACATAATGGGGCGAAAATGCAAATTGACACGAAAAAAAAAATATATATATATACAGTATAAGAGAAAATGATAGTTATTTAGTATTCTCAGTTTCAATAGTTGACTATCGAACATATTCAAGATGGATTGGAGACAATATGCTATGTCATTCTGGGTAAAATATCTGTTTTTCTAAGTTTATTGTAGTATTTAAAGATTTGAAGCAGAAAACAATTGTGCAGATATTCTTTGATTGCTGAGGGATAGTTTCTAAAATGTTTTCTCTTATAAAGAAAGTTTTCAATGGATTAATCGTTTTGGAGTCAGAACTATACGTATCATGTAGACTTAATGAGTTATGGATACTTAGCTTACTGCTGCGAAGACACTGCATTTTTATGATATGTACTTAAGCCAATGCCATGGTGTCTTTCAATAACACTAAGAGAATCGATCTTCGAATTGAAACTTTGCATTGAGACAAACATTAATGACAATAGTTTATGGAGACAGATTCAGATCTTTTGATTTGCTCCTATCCACAAACAAGAATATAGAATCTGTCGGTTTGTATACAAGCGATGTGAAAGACACTTTTACCATGACCGTCTCTTAGGACAGAGACAACGAAATGATCTGAAACTTTCATAATAAACTATTTTCATTAAGACCTGTCTCTATGCAAAGTTTCATTTCGAAATTCTAAAATCAATTTTCCGCATATTCTTGAAGGGAACTATTGCATTGATTAAAAAAATATTGTTAAAAGTGCAATATCTTCAGAGCAATAAACTATGGATCGGTGTTCACGGAAGTATTGGCATATTCATGTCTCAGCGATCGTTAGTATGAATTTTCGTGGAACAATTTACTAGAACTGCACATCCTCATTCATAGCTCATTAGAGTCTACATAATGCACATAGTCCCAACACAAAAGCGATTAATCACTTTGTTGACTTTCCTTATTTAGACATATTTTACTCAATATGCTTTAAACTTTTGCAATAGAATATAGCGAAGTAACTTCAAATATCCAATGATGTTAGATAAAATATGAAAATAAAATTATTAATCATGTACTATTGTATAAAATACATCAATATGTATATGTCACAATTAAATAGAGTATTTACATTTAGTTAACTGAAAAATTTGAATAGTATTCAAATAATGGATGTAAGATGATGATTTTAATAGTCAACGGAATTTTCAGATCCCAGAAGGCTTTATCGAAGCTATTTTAAAGAGTACAAAATTCTGAGCAACATGAGCGATTACCGCATTTTTTATGACTTCTCATTTTGTACAGAATTTTGTGCTCTTTAAATGGGCTGCAACTAGGGAGCTGCATGTCTACGTTTTTGTGGACCCGCACCCGAAAAAAATTAAAAATTAGAATCCGAATCCGGTCGGGTGCAAACCCGAGGTTTTTTTCTATGAATATCTAGCACCCTCTGTGTACACGAACAAGTGAAGGATCAAGGTTTTAGCTATTTATTCGCTACTCTTAGAAAAAAAAGTTCAGCGTACAGTTATATCTTGTTGCTGTATTTCTCATCTGGCGAGCAGCAGGTCCAGAAAATCTTGCAACCGAGCTCAACAAAAAATAAAAGTTTGAACCCAACCCGATTCGGGTCTGAAAAGACTCGCAGCTTCCTAGCTCCAACAACATCTTCTGGGACATGAAAACTACCTTGTTCAGTTTCTTAAAAACTTTGCCATCATAGTTCAACTATGAAGTTTTGGTACGGAATACATTAAAAAATCACTAGGTCGATTTAAGTTAGATGCTTAACATTATAGAAAACAAATTGTCCAAAACTATCAAACGCACAATCTATCCAATTCAATTTCATTAGCGAATCGATTAGATTAATATTCATTTCAACGAGTTTCTTTACTTTTGACGAGATCCCATAGGATATAATTTCATTTGATTTGTTTAATTCAAAAAACTTATTATATAACTCATATTGTCGGTCTCTTTGATTTTGATCAAAGAGCAAAAAAAAACAATTATACAGTCTCTCTCTCTCGTTTAAACAGAATGATTATCAATTTATGGTTAATATGCAATTAGCTATGTATCAAATGTTAACAAATTTTGCATCCAATTCAACAACATCACAACAAATTCCATCATTACGATATCGTTCTTCTAATGATCAACAATCACCAATAATAAATCATCAAAAACCAATTAAACGTCTTAGTCATAAACGACAACGATTGGTGAAAACTAATAATTCGACTGGTGAGTAATCTATTATCTTTTTTTTTTTTTGATAAGAAAAAATATATATTCATGAGAATAATCCATCTGGATTTCACAAGCAAAAAAAAAAAAATAAAAAGGAAATGAATATCAATGATCTTTTCGATACCGTATTTATCGTCGATGATATTAATGGTAACCGTTTAAAAACAAAAAACAAAACGCGAGTCATGTCTGTGTTCAATTCAGTTCATGTCTATTTGCTCTTTCTCTTTCTTTCTTTTTTATATGTATATTGAACGATGGGAAAATTTCTCCAGACGCGTCAACAATGTTGACGAAAGAGAGAGAGAGAGAGAGAAGAAAAGAAACAAAAAAAATATGATGTTCATTATATGCTCAACTTACTTTTTAAATAGGTAGTGGAACAGCAACAACAACAAGTAATTTAAATATGCCAACATCATCATCACCCGATGGATATAATATTCATTATAATGATGAAAGGTAAAACATTTAAAAAAAAAGTAATCGGAAATTTTTGTTTTTTTTTTGTCTTTTAGTTATGAAGAACTTGAACATCGACCAGTAACACGAGAAATGATGGCTGGTTATTTATTAACACGTCGTCATCGTACAGTAACAATATATCATGCTAAAGTAGCACAAAAATCTTATGGAAATGAAAAACGGTAAGAAATTAAATTTCAAAAAAAAAAAACAAAAGAAAAATGAAAATTTAATCTTATTTTAATAAAAGATTTTTTTGTCCACCACCTTGTGTTTATTTATCTGGTGATGGTTGGAATCAAGATTTAGAACAAGATAGTTTATGTACAATGATTAGTATTGGTGAACCATTATATCATAATGATAATAATGGTTCACCATCAGGTAATATAACACAATCAAGTGAAATGCAACATTTACCTTTTGAAAATGGAAAAGTAAAAAATAAAAGAAATTTTATTATTTTTACATTTTTTGTTTTGTTTTTTATATTTAGCGTTTTGGTGCAGCTAAAACTTTATTTATATCTGATTCAGATAAACGTAAACATATTAATTTAAATGTTAAAATGATGTATACAAATGATTTTCGTGATAATCCTTATATTGGAATGTTTGAAAGTCGAAAAATAAAAGTTATTTCAAAACCATCAAAAAAAAAACAATCTGTCAAAAATGCTGAATGTAATTCATTTTTATTAAATTTTTATTTTTTATTTTTTTTAATTACTTTTTTTGTTAAATAGCAGTATGTATTCAATCGGGTACGAAAGTTGCATTATTTAATCGTCTTCGGTATTGATAATAGAATGAAAAATCTATTTAAATATTTAAAAAAAATATATAATTTTTTTTCTTTTTTGTATATATAGAAGTCAAAATGTTAGTACAAGATTTTTACATGTTGATGAAAAAAATCAATTTCATGCAAGTGCACATGAATGGGGATCATTTTATATACATTTACTTGATAATGAAGAACCATGTATGGAATCAAATAATTTTTCAGTTAAGGAAGGTTTTGTTCAATATGGTTCAACAGTCAAACTTGTATGTTCAGTAACCAATCAATCATTACCTTATTTGGTAAATTAGTTTTTTATTTTAATAGAAGTCTATAGAGATTGTACATTATATAGCAGGCCTCGAAATCGTGCTACTTTTTTATGGCCCGACCCGGTATGGGTCTGAAAGAAACTTCATTTACAAATATTTTTTTCTCAATAGACAGCTATTCCGTATTTTTCGGGTTTTATAAAAAGTGATGACCAATGGGAGTGGAGAAGCTTCTCCCTCAGGGGTGAGTCAAATCTCAGACAAAGTCATGTCAAAAAAGGATAAAATCGTTGGGCTGAGCGGCCTGCTACAGTGAATTAAATGAGTTATGAATATCTTCAGAGAGTTCACTGTCTTATCTTATTGCTGTCAAGATACTACACTCTTACGGTAGGTTTTAAATGAAAGGTGTAGTCCTCCTCAGGTAGACAGATTTAAAAAGAGTATTTTCTACTATTTTCTTATTAACAAATAAAGATTCGCATGTCTATATTGTGTCAAAGATAGGGGCAGGAAAGCCATCATTATCTGAGACGATCTCAGCATAAATCTCTTCTCTATTGATGACTACGATTGTGAAATTTTTGAGATGAATGGTTAATATTAGCCGAAGATATCGGTCACTTTTCGAACGGTTTCTATCAACTATCATGCAGTGATTACTTGATAAGTCAGGCAAATTAAAACTGTTTGACATGAAATTTTTATAAGTAATAGAGGTAGTACTGTGCTATCGAATGAGGATTTAATGTCATGAGATTTCTTTTCTATGTTGACGATAGAATATTCTTGCTAAAGTTGAGCATTTATGTTCAACAGAAACAATAAAATGCTGTAGAAAAATACATAACGATTTGTTTTTTGGTTTAAAGCTAGTAACAAAATTAAAATCTTTTTATCAAAAACAAAAAATCAATATTTCATTTTTCTTTTCAGGTTATTCGAAAAGTTGATAAAAATCGAGTATTATTAGATTCTGATGAACCTGTTTCACAATTACATAAATGTGCATTTGAATTTAAAAATGGACCATCATCATCATCATCATCGAATTTAGTTTATTTATGTTTAGCTACTGAACGTATTGTTGGTATTGCGGTATGAATTTTTTTCGTTTTTTTTTTTCTTTTCAAACAATATTTTACAATATGATTATTTTAGGGTAAACCATGTCCAAATGAACGTTTTCGTGTTGATATTAATGATTCAGCATGTTGGACAATTATATCAACTGATAAAGCTGAATATACATGGTTTGAAGCTCGAGGTCCAGTATCACATCCAATTACACCTGTTCCAGTTGCTAGACATATTGTTGTATGTATTTTTATATTAGTAATTTTTCTATTGTTATTTTTTTTGATGATAGGTGGATGGTGGTGGTGCAGCTGCAACAGTTGAATTAACTGGGGAAAATTTTTCACCAGGTTTATCTGTATGGTTTGGAGAAACTGAATCACCATGTACAGACTATCGGTATGTTTGTTTTTTGTGCTTTGATTTAAAGTAGATCTTTTGTTTTTTCGTAAATTAGATCAACACAAACAATTGTTGCTGAAGTTCCTCAATTTTCATTAGTAATGCCAAATATGCCATGGATTCAACGTCCTATGTCAACACCTATTTCACTTGTACGTCGTGATGGTATTATATATTTAACATCATTAGTTTTTACATATACACCAGAACCAGCATCTGCTCGAAAAAATACACCATCACCAGGTGCTATTCTTCCTCCGACATCTGACAATAATTTTTGTGAATAAGAAATTTATAAAAAACAAAAATCAATTTTTTTTCTGTGTTTTATTCTACATGCTTGTTGATTTTCTTTTTTTTTTTTTTTTTGTATACAAAAGAAATAATACTTATAAAGAAGAAGAATGAGGAGGTTTTGTTTGTTGTGAAAGCATTTTAAATGTTGATCGACCACTTTTACCAACATAGGAAAGCCATGATACACCTGTTGAAAGTGCAGACAATGTATATATAACTGACATCCAACCAGTATTATGATAATCGAAAATTGGTGCTGCCATACATAATGCCAACAGACCAATTTGAACACCTGTGTTAACCTAAAATGATATTTAATTGATTATTTATATTCTGTTTAGTAAAATAGAATGTGTAAGGTACACAAGAGTTCCAAAAAATAGTTGAGTTTTTAAGCATACGATATCTTAAAAAGAAATCATCCTTTTGAGCTGAAAACATTCAGAATATCATAAGGCTTATGAAAGCTATTGTCAAGCTAAAACTCCTTGTTGCGAATTTTTTCGTGATATCCTGTAATAGGCTGAAAATTCAGTAAAATGACCATAACTCGAGAAGAAGTACCTAATGGTACGAACTCTTTCAAGATTATAATCTACACTATGAGTCCTATCAGTGAGCAAAATATGAGCTCAAACAGAGATTATTATTCGATGGGTTCCCTTATTAGGTGGTATTAGATCAAAGATGTTCATGACGGCGCAGCAGCAACAGATTCTCAACCGCCATGGACATCTATGTATTAGAGAAAATTATCTCGATTTGATATATAAATAATAATCTTACATACTTTACTAACAAATGTTGGATAAAGTTGTACAGTAGCATTTTTCATATTTAAGATTTTTTTTAATGTTCTTGGTGGTGGAACAGATTTAATACGAAGATAACCTGCAACACACATTATTGCAATATCACGACTTAATATTAAAGCAAGAAGCCATAAAGGTATAAGATTAACATAAGCAAGTGATATAACAACAAAACCAACAAGCATTTTATCAGCAAATGGATCAAGAAATGAACCTAATGCAGATGATTGTGATGGATAACGACGTGCAATCCATCCATCAATTAAATCAGTTAAACCTGATATTATAAAAAGTGATAATGACATTGTATAATGATGATTTATAATTAAATAACCAAGTATTGGTGATGTACCAATACGAGCAAATGTAAGAATATTTGGTATTGTCCATATACGATCAATTTTTTGTTGATCAGATGATATTGATGAAAATGATTTACATTGAAAAGAATATTCTGTACGGGGTAGAACAAATTTGGATGATAATTGAATAGGATATTGTTGTTTTTTAAATGTTACTAAACGAAATAGACAAGAACGACATTGTAGATTTAGTGTAACTAATGAACGACGAAATATTAATTGTCGAAGTATTAACATCTAAAAAAAAATGATAAAAAAAAAAGAAAAAAATTTTTTTTTTGTTCTCTCTTTGTCATATTATCAAAAATTGATTGTTATTTGCGTAACAATCCAACTGGTAATTTAGATATTTTTTCTACACATCGAATAGTTAATGAAATTCGTGTTGTACGTAGTAATATTTGTTCATCTTTATCTTTAATATTATCATTACATCGATCAAAATTACTTATTCTCTCTCGATTAATTGTATCTTCTTGACGTTCTTCAATACCATGCAAATAATATGAATACATATCATCTTTAACCATAAATAAACTACGTGGTTCAAGAAGAACTCGAGCAATACAACGATCAGAAAATGATGAAACATCCTAAATAAATGCAAAAAAACACATTGCAAATAACTTTTTTTAGATGGTTTCAGAAAGAAAAGTTATTAGCGCAATTTCTGCAGGTTTAAAATGTAAAACACGATGTAGCTACTGTTACTATTCATAAGGAGATTGTTAACAAAACGTTATTCATATTACAGCCTTTGATTGTATATCAACAATGTCTGTCATGGTCTGTGACTGTTAGAGTTCGTCGAATTCAGACTCGATCCGAACCTGGTCAAGTCTACGTCTGGATCTGGAACCAACCCGATGAGTTCTAATAACGGTCTGTCATATAGGAGAGACGTTGTTGGGGACGTTTGTGACAGTCTATCGATCTTGTCTGTCATGATCTGTGGAGGAGGAACGAGTACAAATTTCTATCCTATATACTTCAGCATTCTTGTTAGATCATGTTTCACAGAAAAGGTCACATAGATTACAGCGAAGTAATTTATGGAGGACGTGTTCGGCATGACGTCCTTTAACAAGCTGTTAATACAAAGCAAATGTATGTGTTGTCTAAACGCTGAACTGTAGTAACTAGTTGATAGCATGTTTTTATTTATTTTATATTCCAGTCTGAGAATATTATAGGGAGCTAATTGTTGTTATTTTGGTTTTGAAACATAGTCCATCATTTCGTCTAGAAATTTTATTTACAAAGTATTTTAATTGTATAAACTTAAGTGTTTTTATATCTAAAACACTACTAATGAATGAAAGATCCCTTCGCAGTTTTTTAAAAAATTGTATTTTATTTTTCTCAAACAAGAGAGCATTCTAAATTTAAATATATCGATAGATAAACCATTCAAAACTCTATCAATTGTATCTTTAAATAAAACAATTAACTTAATTTGCTGAAGACTAATAAAATATTTTTAGATAACCGTCAATATTTCTAGTCACTATTTCTATTATCTTGAACACTCATGATAGTATAACCACTGTACGTTCCAACAAAAAACTTATAACATAATTTTATAGCGTATTGCTGAAGTTCCCTAATGCACACTTTGATATGTTCTTTATTCTTGGCAATTTCAAGTCAAAATCAGTCACAAGATTTTGTAGAATTCACATACATACTTTTCGAAGGAAAATAGCGAGTATAAGTTTTAAGTCAAAGCTTTCACGTTGCCCTTACATGATTTTTGGATCTAGTAGTGGGGAAGATTCAGACGCAAATGAATACATTTTTCCTAGAATCCAAGAATAACAGATACCAGACTCCTTTCCTATAGATCCTTAGAAACAAAAAAAAGGCGCTAAGCGATATTAATAGCAAGGCTAAAGCATTTCTTAAAATTAAAATAGCTATAATATGTTTGCGAATGTTCTAAACGATGCAGTTTTTGATTTTTTTTCACAAATAAATCATTATATGATCGATGTCAAGGATGATACACAATGTTGTATTAATTTGTCATAGTCATCATATGATCAAGTTATAACTTTCAAGACTAATCAATACCACTATTTCATAGTTTATTGAGATATACAATAACGCATTGAGACATACTGTGGATATGCACAAAAGACTTATTTATCAGTTAAATCAATGATTAGAATAAAAATAATAAAATAGAGCATTAGTAAAAAAATAAATTCTGTTCAAAATGCAGAAATAAATAAGTGTATTAATATAATGAGACAAAAGAACGCATATAAGCTTCACATTTTAGCGCTAATTGAGGCTAAAAATATGCAAAGTAAGCTGTTTTTGAGTATCCTGCAGGATGGCGTAATCATGCAAATCTCTAAAGCCTGCGCTGATAATTTTGTTTTTGAAAAATAGGATGAATAAAAAAATACTTATACACTGGTTGATAGTACTAGAAAGGAGCTATCAGCTTTCGTATTGTAAATTTTCATATCTCATAGGATCAATCGAAATTTCATGTACGTTTCTTTTTTGCGAACATGAGTTTTTGACCGTCAAAATAATTAATACATAACATAAAGACGATATGTCACAGTAAAATCATATGTATACAAAACTTGTCATGGCTCTCTACAATCCTCCTACACTAACATAGTATATAAGAAAGAAAATCAATGCAAACATTTTGGCTTATATATCGTCTTAATCAGTGTCTGAAATTTCTCGAAAAAGCATCATAACACGGACTAAATAATATCAACATTCTGATCAATTCGAATTTTTGGTAAAAGAATTTGCCGTCTATTCTCTGTTATACAAAATGATTAACATGACTGAGAGCTAGAGTTCGGCTACTCCATAAAGTCATACTTTTATATTCTAAATTTTCTAATCAGAATTGGATTGGTCATCACGATGGTACGAGATACTTTTTTCAAATTATAATTATCTGTTAATTTTACAATAGGACCTATTAAGTTGATCGCAAGCTCAAACCCGACTGAGTCCGGAAATCAATCCGACAGGTTCTATTATTTAGACACTATTTGATTTATTCAACCTACTAATTCTTATCTCACCTCTTTATTATTACTATCAATCGGTCGATAAAATTCAATAACAGTATGTGATTGTAATGAAATAGTTGAAACAATCGGATGATAAACAGGTCCATCAGTATGTGGCATAATACCTTGACCTGATTCATATTCATTTACTAGACAATGATTAAATTGAAATATATGATCAGGAAATATTGTTTGATTTTCAAGTTTAAGAATACGTTCAGTAAATGGTTCTAACCATTTTGGTAATGATTCTGTTTGAATCATTCCTTTAGAATGTGGTTGTCCACCCCAATTTTGTAAACGACGATTACGTAATTGAACCCAACGTGTACGAGGTACATTATTAACACATGACAATAGATATTCTTCTTCTTCAATTGTTATAAAATTTGGTATATAGTAAAGAGTATCAGGTACATTGGTTAATTTATAAATTTCCATTGGAAATGAAAAAATAAAAAAATGAACTAGAAATATCACAATTATTTAGAAATCTTTTCTATTTGTAAAAGAAATAAAAAATATAAACATTCGAATATTTTTTGTTTTTATCAATACACTCGTAATAAATGATGCACTGTAACGAATTTCAATTAACAAATAGAAAAGAAAAAAAGAAAAAACACATTAGACAAAACTATTATTCAAATGAAAATTTGTCATTTGATTTTCATGTACATGTCGATGGTAACAATACTTCATTTGTCGTCGGTGGTGTAACTATACAAAATAAGAATAAAGTATATTCAAAAAACAGGACAATCAAAAAACAAAAAACACACGATTGCAAGACATACACGAAAATATGAATGAATTGCTGGGACAATTTTCATGTTTTAAAATTCTCTAACTATAACATTCTACTCTCCATGCTAAAATATAAGACAGGTGACCATTTTGTTTTCAATAACTTTTGATAGAAACCTATGATTTTTCATAGTTGGAAAGAGAAGAATATTTTTTATCCAATCCACGTCCAGTTGCGACAGGTTCTGGAAAACCATGCTTTCCAAAGTGCGATATGGTCTATGACACGTTTATTTTCACGCCGCTGGGTGTAAAATTTAATTCTGAACAAAACAGTAAGGATTTTTTCAGGTTTTTTTTATTTCGAAAATTTTTCTCGCATATATTTCTTCTTAAATCTTGAAGCATGTATCAAATGATACAGAATTCCATGGAGAACATTGTAGCTTGGACGAGATCGGTTAGACTTGTTTAGCATCTGGCTGAGCACAAGTTCGACCGAGCCTGAGCTGCTCGGGTGCGATAAAAGTTTAATTTTAGTATACTTGAAATTTTAGGGAAATCTTTATAAAAAAATTTTTCGTCATTTCTTGGTTTTTGACCGTTGAGTGGGTGTTCCTCCTTTAAACTTTGCGTCGAGAAAGAAAAGTTATTTGAAAAACAAAGATAGTAGTTTTATAAAGTAGAAAATTCTCTATCGAATAAGTCTAAAACGAAATCTCTAATGTGTTGAGAAGTGTTCTAAAATGTGGAAAATATTTTGATCCATTACTTAACTAATCTTAGCTCATAATGTCTATAGATTGAAGAGTGTATGAACTATACATAGACAATAATACATTTCTTCTTGTTGTTTTTTAAACGAAATCATTCACAGAATTTTTTACGAATGATTGAAATTATATTATTTAAAATTTCGAATTCTGTTTTCAAATAATTAAAAAAGATAAGATATCATTTTTAGATACTAACCTTCATAAGATCGTATTTCTGGATTTGGTAATTTTTGCCGTCGAACAAATATTTTTCTTTGTTTTTCAATTTTTTTTAAAGCACTTCGTAAATTAAAAAATACTTTTTGACATTGACGCATATGATCTTTAAGATGAGCTAAACGATTATCACCCGTTAGATTACTATCTAAAAAAGAAATATAAATTATTATTATAAAACAGAAAAAAAAAAGACATCGATTTTACTAAGATCAAGAAAATTATAACGACTTGATCGATGTTTAAACATATCTTCTAATTGTTGTCGTAAAGTTGCGTTCATTGGTGAATTCAAATGAAAATCTTCATTTTCGTTGTCTAAATAATTAATAGAATAATACAAAAAATAAAAAAAAACAATAAAAATCTCAAGCCTACCTTGTTGATTCACTGTTTTTTTTCCACCTCGTCTTCCTACTGTTCGATATCGTTTAACTTTAAATATAAAACAGAAAAAAGATATTAAAAATAAAATTTTATTTCCACAAAAAAAAAAAAACAAAAAAAAATTGACAGACTTTCTAATGATTGTTGTTCCATTGGTATTGGACTATGATCATTATTGTTTATACAATCAATATTATAATTACTATTAATATCTGTATCGAATCTAGCTTTTTTCTTTGTATATATAGATGAATCTTGTGTATTATTTGGATCACGGAATGTTCGTCGTTTTTGTTGACGTGTAGATATACGACGATTATCAGAAGTTATGTTAACCATAGGACTACATGGCAGAGAAGAAGCTTTTGATTCGATTAGAGCAGATGTTGACTGTTCAATAGATGAAGATGTATTGATAGGTTCTTCTTTAACTTGCAATGAATTTACCACGCTAACAATAAAAAAAAAAAATTCGAATGATAAAATGAGAGAAACAAAATGAAATTTACGTGTCCGATGTTGGAAGAATATTTTCGACATTGATAGTTAGTGTTGAATCAATTGGTATTTGTTTTTGAGGAATTATTTCTTGAATATGATCATTTTCATAAATGGATTGATTATCATTATCATCATTAGATCCAAATGCATTATCAATATTTATTGATATTATATTTTTATTATCATCAATTGAAATTGGTTGTTGTTGTAATTCTATGGGTTTATCACTTGAACTACTTGATAATATACATATAGGTCTAGAAAAATATCTATGAAAGAATGCAGTGCATAATAGATTTCAATTCTTATTTTATTTCGATTAGTTCTTCTTAAATATTTATTTAGCACTCAAACGGAAAGTAATATGACCGATATGATATTTCGCAAAGAAAGTTAAGTATTCTTTCAAAATGTATACAGCAAGATATGCTTCTCTTACAAGAGAACATCGTCAAGGAGACATCATTTGAGATACACATCCTATCGAATTGAGCTCAGAAAAAACATCTAAAAGAACTTATACTCGTGAATTTTTTCTATTTGAATTACAACCATTTTAGTAACAAAATTCTATATTCCTCTCATCTTCAGATCATTTTCGAAATCGACTTTGGATTTCAAAATTTATACAAATAACGTTTTCAATGGAATTAGCTGATATTATTGAAAGACAAAAAGCGTAATAATTTGAACTTCTTTGATTTCAAACTGTATATAATCTCGAATTTATCAGTTCGAGAACTTCCCTCGTTAGTCTTACCGAGATCAACTCGTAAAATTATAAGATGAAATCGAACGGTGTCCGATAGTTTGATATATTTTCTCAAACAATTTACATAATGATGATTTTTGAACGAAAGTTTATTTTAACTTACTGAAGCTCTTGATTATTTGATTCATTGATTTGAAAATTTGATGAAGACGAAATAATATCATTTTCCTTTGAAGATACAATCTCTAAACTTTTCCATACTGAATAGTAAAGAAAAATAAAAACAATATCTATTTGATATGTAACTAAATTTTAAATAAATTACTTCCATTATCTTGATCAATTGAATTTATTTTATTTTCTTCTATATTTTGATTTTTTTCTTGTTCATTATCTTTAACATTTAATAATGTTGAATTTATATTAATAATTATTGGTTTTTCATTAAATTCTATTTCATTTTCACGTTTAATAATTCTATCAAATTCTATCCATTCACGAAATCTAAAAATGATTTATATTTAATTAAAATTCAAAAAAAAACAAAACTTTAAGAAAATATTTTTTTACTTGGCATCTAATCCATTATAATCAACATATAATTCTTTTTTATTAGTATTTTTTTCAATACATCGTACATAATATTGTCGATTTCCAATAAAATCGGATTTTACAAGTAATATATCATTTACAAGTATATCTTCATATGTTAATTGAGTATCAGAATTATTTCTAGATATACAATTGCTTGTTGATTGATTATTATTATTACTATTTAAAAAACGAAAAACAATAATTTTTTTTTTTTGATATTTTTATTTTCGACAATGAAAAAAAAACAACAAATTTACTTGATTATTTCATCACTATTTTGAGATGACATTGAATGTCTGGAACGTTTAGATGGAGATAATTGTTCATCTACTTTATCATTGAACTCAGAAATTTCATCGAAATATGATCGTTTATTTGAATTTGTTTGAAAATTTTCAATCTCGTTTGTTTGTTGATTAGTTATAGATGATGATGGAATTAATGTTTGAAATATCGAAGGAACTACAAGGACATTAACATTTTTTTCAAGGATACATACACACAAAAAGAACAAACATAATCTGAACAAGTTTCATTTACCTGATGTATCATCATTTGAATTATTGATACTTTCTATTGTAGTAAAAAGTGAAGGTAATGTTGGTGATTCGTCTTTAATTGAAGATGGTGGTGGTGGTGGTGATGGTGATACGGGTGTTACTGGTAATACTGTTAAATCTTGTAATCTAGTCTGTTTAGTTGATTCTGAAAATGATTGATTAATTAGAGGCGGTGTATGAGCTTTTGATTGTTGTTTATCGGAATTAGCTAAAGAAAATATTAGTTTTGTATAAATATAAATAATTCATGTAAAAAATATCTTCGTTAATCTCCAAGAAAAACCTATAATTGAATAGAATCTCTTCTAGAAACCCAATCGAAAGCATCTTTTCTGCAATAATTCGATACATTCAAAATTTGATTACAAGCTGATAAAAACCATTTTGAAATCTCTTATCACATTATGTTAATAATAATAACGTCTATCCTCATCATGCATTTAGTATATCAATGACTTTACAAGTCTTAGTTGTGACGTTTTTTTTATTGAACACTGATTATGATTACAATTATATTCTTAATTAGAAATGATGATATTATAAATTATCGAAAATATATACCTTTATGTGAATCTTTTTTCAATATGTTATCATGAACTTTGGATACTTTAGTAAATGTTGACTTTTTAGAAAATTTATGCATTGGAAATGTAGATTCCTTTCTAAAAAAACAAAACAAAAAGATGATCAACATTATTTATTTTGTTTGTTAGACTTACAAAATTTCAACAGAAATTTTAGGAATTTTTATAACTGGTTTCATATCATTTTCTGAATCGATTATTGATTTCGGTTTTTTATTTGATATTGAAATTAATTGCTCATGTTTTTTTGGTGAATCAGATAATGATGATGATGATGATGATGATGATGATACATGTTTTGTTTGTATAATTTTTTTCTTTTCATTAGATATAAGAGATGTTTTTTGAATAGTTGAACGAATTT